TTTGAAGTGCCAGAAGCTGTCTTCAGTAAAATACTAGTTGCTTGATCTAGTAATGGTTTATTCCATGCCCTCTGGTTTTTCATGTCTTCAATTTTCATTGTTTGGCCAGTTCTAGATTCCCAAAGAGATTTTCCCCGATCAAGATAAGATAATTTCTATCAGATCGGAAACACTGCAAAATGAGGACAGAAATGATGGCAAAGCGAGTGAAGTGGCTGAACGAATTCCTAATCCTCCTCTATAAACTGAAAGTGATGCTTGTAACCAAGTTTCGTCTTCGATACGGTTATTAGTAATGAGTTTCAGCATCCTTCTTAATTCGTCATCGATATTTTGTAATCCCTGTTCGTCATGCCAAGTAGGGCTGTACCTCAAAGTATACGATAATTTTGGAATGGCTAATGAATTCTTCAATAAATGGAATGTGACATGTGTTGGTGAAATAGATAAACGTCCTGACATGACACGAAGTGATTGTAATTTTTCTTCCAAACAAAATTTTGAGGCATCATCAGATAATGGGGCACCAAGAAAAAAACCAATTGGGTTTTTCAATCACTCGTATACTAGGAGCTATTAGCTTAATTTGATCGATGATGTTAGGGTCCTGCTTATCCAGAAAAATGAGTTCACATTTCTCGAAATTTAGTTCAATTCCCAGGTCTTTCGAATGACTTTTTGTGTAACGAAAATTTTCTAATACCACATTTGCTTTGTCACCAATTGAACCATCATCCAGATACCAGCCGTTGAATTCAGTGGATATTTTAGTTATAATATGATGAATAGAAAGATAGAACAATAGTGGTCCAAGTGGATCTCCCTGCTGTAATCCTTGTTCGGACATTATAATTTCGTTACCAAATATTAAGAAAGAAGGTTCACTGTAACATTGTTCAATAGAAGGATATATGTCTGGTATGGCGTTAGCCACCGAATGTAACATGAAATTCCTGTCTATAGTATTGAATGCATTCTTAAAATCAAGTTTCAGAAAAACTTTTTCAACTGTGTTAGTGTTTTGATTAATATAACATCGTGCAGTATGGGCTACTGCCTCGCAACCACCATTTGTTCCGAATCCAAATTTTTGGGGACGAAATAGATTTCCAAGACTTTCTCGTAAATTGAAACAATCAAGTTTCGCTACTAAACGTCGATAAAAATTTCCAACAGCTATAGGACGTAGACCGCTAGTCTTTTTCTTTAATGCACATAAAGAAGCACCATATAAAATAGGACGTATGTCTTGATTGACCTTTCCAGAAAGAAGCATATTGCAAAGGTTCGTTTAAGAATTCAAAAGATGTTCGCCACAACTACCGGAACTATAGCTTAGCATATCTCGAATATGGTACGGTCGCAATGAATCAAGACCTCCACAAGAACCGGTGCGAAAAGATCTCACTGCTCTGAGAACATCTACGCTTGTACCTTCCAGAGGACTATGAGAAGTTGTATATTGTCCAGAATTGTATAAACTTTTAAAAGCAGGATATTTACTTCGTAATTCTTCCAATGTTGCAGCATCAAATTCAGCAGGACTATCAGTAGAACAGAGAAATCTAACAGCTGCTGTTATATCACCGTCACAGACTTTCGAGAGTACTTGTTTTTTAAGGATGTCATTATAATTTTATGTTTATTCGAAATTTTGGCATAACAATTAGTCGATCTCGTAATGTTATTATTGAAACTATTCAAATTTATCTTCAGTATTGTTGTGATTGAAATTTTTCGATTATCTTTAGTTCTCTGAATACTAAAACTTTTATAAGCAAACATGTGCAAATTTTTCCAAGCAGTTAAGGAATTCCTAGATACACATTCGTTAATTAATTTTGTGAGGGTAATTGCAGAGAGTAACCTTGCAGCCTCGGAATACGTTTAATAATATGTATATCTCTTCTCAAATTAGATGAATGGATATGAAATGGAACTTCTTTGTTTCCAGGGTCAAATTCTTCTCCGAAATCATTATCGGGATTGGAATTTTTATAGGAACTTGTAGTATCGATTGAATTAGAATGCACTTTTCGCATGTGGATTTTCAATCCTCGTATTTTGAAAAATTTTCCACCTATTAAACATTCTACTTTACCAGCTTCTTCTTCTGTCATCAAATATAGATCAAATTGGTTTGATTTATCGTGATCGGAGTCTTTTAATTCCTATGTGACTTTCTTGTATCGTCCAAAACTTGAGAATGTCACCCAATGATATCCCTACCTCTCAATCCAATTTTTGATAATTGCCTAAGAGCTTCATTCACAATACTTTTTATATCTAGTATTGATGTGGATGAATTGGTAAAAAAGTATGCAACAGGCTGTTTCCAGTTCGAATGTATGCCTTTTGCCAAGACCACTAAGGCATTTGCAAAATTTCATTTTGTTTTGAAATATTTTTTTAATTATTGGGTTGGTTGTTGTAAATCAAAACTTCAATATAAAATACAGATTTCTTAGTAGATTATCTGGAACATATTAATTGAAAGTAGGCTCAAAAAAAGGTTATCTGAATATACATTTGATACTTTGGTTTTGCAAATATTTCAGTGAAAGTAATTGTTTTCCTACAGATACAAATCAAAACTTGATATGGTTCAACAATTATTTTCCTATGTGGATTTCCAGTTGAACTGGAGGCATTTTATATTCGTAAAGTTCAATTTCATCAAATTAAATTCATAATAAAAAGTCTGGATATTATTGACTTCACTATATATGGTCTATGACAATTTATTTTATGATTTTCATTATATGTTCATTACTTCAATCTTACAAATTAAATAATAGAAAAACATACATTTTTTCGTCAATTGAAAATCGAAAAAAATGAATGCCGACATCACCCTGCAAATTACAGCAACCCACAGCTTGACACTTGCTCATTTTGAAACTAGACACAAATTTTTCACAAATACAAAACCACCACTTACAACGACTCACTCTGTAATAATATTCCATGCCTCAATTTGGCTCGCTTAGTAAACGCCTCAGATGCACTCGGTTGCGCTGTAGTTCGGCTGCGCATAAAATTCGAGGTGGGGAATTTTGACCCAAATATGGCGGAGAGTGAACTTGCTGGTGTTTACTTCTATACTGTGCTAATGCCAACAAAGTTCCAAACTCTATTTTTCAAACGTTGTTTTTTATGAATTTGTCTGACAGTTATCACATACATTTAATGAATTGGATTCAATTCCCAAGGTATCACACAATTTTTTCGACATCTCCATAGGGCTTGATGTAACCCTTTTTCCAAATGAGCGTCCCAGGTTAGTTTTTTTATCAAAGGATAATAGCTAGATATTTCACCTGCGTTGCAAACCTAACCAGATTTATCTCTTTGCTGACGGGGACTATCACGAATTTGTTTGGGCATACAACGTTTTTTCAGGATATTGCATACTTCTATCAGCTTTCAACAAAAAGTTTGAAGTTTTAGTTTCAGTAGTGCAATATCATAAGTGCAATATTTTGTAATAAGTTTTATACCGTTATTTATTTTGCCCCTTTCTTGATGCTTATCCATTGTTCTACAAAGGATACTGATGATTTGGGAATAATTTCGGTACCATTTTGGAAAGAAGCAAATATGACAATACTCTTACAAAATGAAGAATACGAGGAAATTGGTAAAAATATGTATTTTGTCTATAGGGCTTAATTTTGTTGGGAATGTTTACCTTTCCTTAATAAAAAGAAGGATTTCAGTTCGCAATTGAGAAATTGAATTCAAAGTGGTAACATATATGAATATATATGTTTTGAGTAAACTATTATCATGTCAATCAGGTTGGCGTTACCTGATATATGAACTAATGATAACAGCCAAATGGAAAAACTAAAACCTAAACATTATTTTTGAAATATATTCAGATTGTCCACATTTAATGAAAACTCATTTTCTATAAGAGAACGATGAGAAATAATGGGTAAAAAATATAACTTTCGTCAGGGCACAAAAACACTCTGAAGTTTGAAAGGTACAACATTTCAAATAATAAGCAATTTCGAGTATTATCTTCAATGAAGAATTTTGAAATATTATTTCTTTCTCAAAAAAACGAGCGATGTTATTGTTGGGTATACTAGAGTATGTCAATGTCATATGATGCTTATTATGGTTTCTTGAAGTAGGATAGAACTGGTAGTTGGCTTATTTTCATAGTTTTGTTAAAGGAATTAAGTTTACAAGGCAGATATCATTGACATATTCCATTTAGACAAGAAATGTTTGAAATTCAATCTTTGGAATGACCAAATATAATTGAATTGTTTCCCTCTGTTGAACTGTTTCTAATTTGAAAATTGGTAATTAGTTTATTACATGTCCATTTAACGGATTGGTAATGTTTATTTTTGCATGTTTCAATTTACAATTAGTTCACACCTAAACTCAAGTAGGTATAATTAGTGCCATCAAGTAGGTGAGTCATATGACTCAAATTGGTATATGAATTCCTGAATAGATTTGGGTCGTATGAACATGCCTGAGAAAACTATTGTCTGGCGAAACACGTGTTGAGGTTTTGTAAACTGTCATGTGAAAATCGAAGTGTTACTTGAGTATGATAATTATAGTTGAAAATTTCACCTCATCACAAACATTTTTCTTGTGAGAAATTTGATACCTTGAATAATTCTAAGCTGAAAAGATACCAAACATCTGTTATTTGACTTTCTGAGATTTTAAAATCTGAATCGAGGAACCGTGGCGATCCACAATATTCTTCAAAACGACGAATTGACAATATTATTGTTTCATAAATATTTCACCGAAAATATTCTTAACTACGAAATACTGTGAGGGTTTTATTGAAATTATTTTTGACAAGACCATCGTTAGGAAATCTTTCTTTTGGTTTAGACATCTTTTTGTAAGAAGATAAAGGAATAACGATGATTTTGGTGATGCCGCATATTTTATTGTTTGTGCTGACTATGATTGTATATTATAATAAAAATGACCATCTTATTAATATTTTTTTTCAGATAAAACGTGGTATTCATCGAATCCGAGAAAACGTATCCGAATATATTTGGAACTTTACCCAAAATATGAATGCTTTGGAACAAGATAACTTCACGAAGGGTGTCCAAAAATACTTGAAATCATTCGAGAATTCTTTATTGGATGCCATGAACAAGGATGGGTGGGATGGGATAGAAGACGAAAACAAGGTTCAGTGGACGCTTACAGGATCTTTGTTCTATTCTATCATTGTAATTACAACAATAGGTAAGATATATTGATTTTGATAACATACTTATCACTGCAATTCAAGACATGCTATTATTTTAATGCTTTCAACTTGAATTTTATGTAGGTAAGTTTGCGCCCCACCAAGATTGTATTCTGTTCTTTCCCCCTATTACTGTGAATTGAATCCGATTGAGATGATTTGGGCTGCTGTGAAAAACTGTGAAATTATAATCAATCTCCAACAGATAGTGATTCCGTACTAGGAAATATACAAAGGTTTATTAATGAAATGGACCACAGTGGTGAATGGATGAAATGTGTTCAGCGTGTCATAGAAAAAGAAGAATGAATAAATATACTTCATTTTCCATTGATCCCTTTATTATAACCCCAAATTCAGATTCAAGCTGTGAAAATTCAGAGAATGAATCTTAAGAAGTTCTATTTTATCTTCATGTAAGTACAAACTGTTTTCTTCATCATTACTCTTTACTACTAATGGAAAAACTCCATGTAGGTTTATGAAAAATAAAATTGATTTTGAAAAAAAATTATACCACGCCGCCCATGCCATACAAAGAAACTGTCGACGTTCGGTAACTATTCAGTTCTCATGCCATTCGAATTGACTTCGTATATTGTATACGATCAGTATTTTTACCGTCTTCAACTGGATGAAGTGCCGAAGTTACAGCCCATGCAAACCAAACCTTATAATATTTCATATTTATACAAGATTATTTTCAGTGCAATTTCGTGTGGTACTTCCATAAATGGGGAACCAAGTTGAGGAGTGAACTAATTGATGTTAACTCCTTAATTCGTTATCGCATGTAGAGTCCAGCCACTGCTTCTCTCTTGAAACTCTCCCAGTTCTTTCTAATGTGGGGTGATCATTTTTTTTTCGAACCCTAAATCCAAAATTGTGGTGCGATGAAATGGAGTATCTGATGTGGTGGAATACTTGATTTACTTTGAAATTTGTTTTCCTTTCGCAAGTTCAAATCCGATGCTAAAGGTCGTATTCACCTTGATTGCATCTTCATTCTCCAAAGAATGAAGAGGCATTGAAAAACACTTCACAGTCCTTTGAAAATTCACCAGGATCTTCATGTTTAGAATCAGTGACGCTGTTACTAATCCTGGTCCCGAAAGCTGAGGTGGAATCTTCTAGATGAACCCTAAGTTTCGCAGTCTCTTTTGTACCTTTTCGCCCTTCTTCCAGCTTTTGTACTGCCTTCAATGATTCTGCAGACTTCTCAAATGTCCCAACGCCGATTCAATATAATGCTTCTTTTCTAGGCGGGACGCATTTTTTAGAGTCTTCCTTAGCCACTGAGCCCCCTTTGTCACATTCACGAATTACACCTATTACCGCTTTTTTGATCCTATGGTCTTTACTGAATCCATTAATGGAGCCATGTTCTCATAAACGTCTGCAACGAAACAATTTACCGAAAATGAATAATGAAGTTACTGCATCTGAATAACGAATATGGATATTGTTAGTCAATAGGTATTGTGGCGGTCCCAATTTTGGCTCCGCTCATCACCATGAACTACCTCATGGTGCAGCTCCAGTCGCTAGACCTGCGTTCTATGGATTGAGAGGTACAGGTCATGGTCGGGTACAGCAGCCATACAGGTATATCGAGGTCCCCAGATAGCTCAGATCTGACCTCGCGATTTTCCTGATGTTCTAGTGTTCTTGACGCTCCATATTATAATTTTCGTAAAGTAAAGATGAAATCATTAGAAATGATTTCCCACATCAACCTGCAGCACCTAGTATAACGTAAATAGGTTATAATGCCTTTTTGGTTTCGGAGAATTATCAGTTACGTTTCTTGACATCCAGAGGATTCTAATTTTCATTGGAAATATTTGACCGGAAGTGAAAACTGAAAAAATGGTCTAATTTTGACGGATTTGAAATCTCCTTGGCATAATGAAGTCGAATATATTATTTGTTCCATTCTGCGATGATTTTTTTCATACCAGTAGTTCCAAATAGTGTTTGTAACATTTGTCTAATACTGTAAATATGCGTCTCACATAAATTTCAAAATTATTTCGTCTCCTCATGCGCTGTATGACAATCAAAATATATTATTACTGATATTGATATCCTTGATTTTTCTTTCTCGTTTCATCATGTTTTTCCCTTCATTTTGACGTTTTGCATGTGACGTTTTGCATGTTACGAAAATATGACTTAGTACCTTTAAGCATGCCGCCATGTACCACCACGTGAATTTAGCGTAACGCTAGTTGCACACACACCAATTTTGGACGGCCGACTTTGTACCGGTCGTCCAAATTCCAATAGTGAACCACATGTGTGAATGGGATCTGGCACACACGCCGACCGGTGATCGTCGCCGGTAAAATACCGGTGAGCAGCCGTCCACTGCCACTGTATCGCCGGCAGTACCGGGAAGTTGTGGCGTACATGACTAAATACACTCTTGCATACTCACCGGTTTTTTACCGACCATTCCAGTCACGAATGCTCGGTGAAGTTAGTACGCATTAACTTCGTTCTGGTAGTGCGTGCTAATTACGACAACAAAGCAATTGATTGTTTAACTGATAAGAATCCGGTGAGTGTGCAAGCACGCGCTACCAATAAAATATCGTCCGATTTTATACTGGCCGTCCAAAATCGGTGTGTGTGCAACTAGCGTAAGGCTAATTGCTCACACATCGATTTTGGACGGCCGATTTTATACCGGTCGTTCAAATTCCAATAGTGAACCACATGTGGGAACCTGGTACACATGCTTACCGGTGATCGACGCCGATCACCGGTGATATATTCGAAGTCGAATATATCTTGAATGAAAAATCAATGCATAAGAAAGGTAAGAAGAAGAAATGATTTAGTGTAATATAGATTTTTATTGATATTATAATTTTTAGTTTTATATACATTGTACAATAAATAGACATGAAACATATGGCGGCAAATAAAATACATACTTCAGTTGTTAATAATTATACAATATGATCCTAAAACTGCTCTTTGGTTATACAATGAAACAAAAAATGAAATGTATCAATATTTTCACATTTCTTGATGATGTATTACATGATTTGTGATACCGTGAAAGTTGTTTGATATACAATGGCAAAAATTATAACATTGAATTGTGAAAAAATTGATCGGTTCAGATGGTAGCAAAAGAAGAAAGATCGAATGTTTTTCGAAAACAGCAAGACGAAGCGAAAATTGGAAAAAAAATCAGGAATAATTTCACTATGAATGAAAAGGAGCATTTGATTTTTAGACTTGTAGAAGAAGGACTTTCAAGCATCGTGCTGCAAATTATGCGGACGTTGTTGAAATACATTGTCTCTTATGAATTGACGCAGATGAGCATCGCATACGAAGGAGCATCTAGGCAACACTCATCTGCTCATAAGAAACGAAGTATATCAACCACAGCGTCCCTATAACTTGCAATTGTTGATATAGTCGAAGTAACCGGTATAGTGCAAAGTTGAAGCTGTTGGCGAGTTCAAAGGCCATAGAAACCAATTCAAATGAAATAAAGCCGCTGCCAACTAGTCCACGTGGAATGTAGACTTGGCGGTTCGTATTAGATAGTTTTTACTAACAGACTTAGTAAAAATCAGAGTTAAATTTGGAGTCATGTAACGGTGACGAATAGAATGCGAGCCATCGTGTTGACAATGTTCATTTCAGGAACTGATCGCGATTTGAGTAATGAAATTTGATATTGGTGCAGTCATAATTACTTAAAAGTTTTGTTATCTGTTTAAAATGTGGCGTCCTTGGACAGGTACCAATAGTAATAACGAGTATGATAACAACGGAGGCTTTTTTCTGTGTGGTGATTCCAATAGCCCTGGTGAACAATGCGGAAAAGAGATACCAGTGAATAAGATTCGTATTCATTTGAATATTGAAACACAGATACTATGTTTCAACGTATATAATAATCTACATCTCAAGTTTGGTTTCGAGGGAAACAAACTATTACAAGCAACATCAGATTTGACCGAAATTCCTTTCTCAACTGTACGTAAAATAGTCAAAAACAAACCTTATGAACGCAAGACGCGATGTGTTACGGAATTACCAAAACCTTCAGATGTTCATCTAATAAAATCAAAAAATCATTGAAAAAAACAATATACGACTGTAACAAAAGCAATGAGATTCCTACAACTGAAATAGAACTCTTCAGAATTGGATAAAGAAACTAGGATTCAGATTTAAAATAATAAACAAACGTTAAGCAGTTATGGAAAGCAGAAGAATAGTGGAATTGCGTAACAAATACTTAGAACTCAAATCACTGTTGAAGAAGCTACTGTGTTAGCGAAACATGTGATATATTTTCCAAATAAAGTTTGTGGAGATCAAATCGTGAGTTCTAGTTTATGAAATTACTATGGATCTTCATCAAGTAACGGGCGAATCAATCAGAAAATGGGAAAATTGAATACTTTTGAAAAATATGATGATGATTTATTGATATTTGCATTTTCGCGGAATTATAATTTTATTAATCCAAACTCTCAATCCGATAAAAATCATTAACCTTCAACGATATCACAAACTTCCAATATATACTAATGTTTCCGTTTTCCAGTGTTGGATGGAAGAGGCATCCCTGTTGGAATTGACCAATACTTATTTCAATGATGATTTTTCAAATTGTATCGACTTTGGAACAGAGTTGATCTTGCAAAAGACTCCACGGAATGTTCCTTGATACTTATGAGTTCTCAACCATCACAATTTGAAGAATCAATTCATTTAGATCAACATAGAATCTGTTCGAATATATTAAATGATAAACTGAAAAGTACACCCCGAACGCTGTTTCTCATAAAATGGGATGAAGTAAAACTAAGAGAGTGATTTCCGAACCGTTAACTATTTTTGAAGAATATATAAAGTATTTTTTAATTAATTCATCTTTTCTGACAAGTAATATTCATCAATATGACTAGTTACTGATTGATTACACTCTACAGAGTTCTAATTCGCAGTTACTTCTGTTCTGTTGATCTAGATTGATTTATTTTTGGGCGAAAGGAGATTGAAAACCTGTAAATCAAGTAATAGCGACTCTCACACAATGTCTTTCTAGAAAAATGCCACGGAAAAAGTTTTCGATGATTATGATTTTCTCTTCGAAGCATCTGCAGCTGATCTTGGGTTGAAATCTAAGTCATAACCTTGGATGGGTCTATCATAAGGTCCTCCAGGGCCAATCAGTATTCCATTTTCTGGAGAATTGCTGTTTTGACCTGAAAATAGCGGTGCAATTATAGCTTATAGCTGTAATAGCTTATTTG